CCAAAAAAATGGATATCAGGATCCGGATCCAAAATTAATATTAAAAATAATTAAAATAATTAAGATCCGGATCCGAAATTAATATTAAAAATAATTAAAATAATTAATAAATAAATAAAAATATATTTTTTAAAAATTATTAATTAATATTTTAAATGATATTTTTCATTATTAATATAATTTATTATAAAAAAAACTATACTCAATTTTTATATATATATTTATTTATATAAAATTAGCTTAATAGATATATAATATATATGTTTTTAATATATTTAATACGTCCGGATCCGGATCCGGATATTCGGACCTTAAAATTTTATTATCCGGATCCGGATTCTCTTTTCACGGATCCTAGAATTTACTATCCTTATCCGGATTCGGACTCCCCGAATATTCTAATTTTCGGAGCGATTCCAAACGGATAACGGATCGGTTCTCAGATCCCGGATAATAATTCCACCCCTAGTTATAATCACTAAGTTCTATAAGAGAATGATTTATTTTTAGTAATTTTCTAGCTGAGTTTGTTATGTTTTATGTTAAGATTCGTAATATTTTTCTTTAAACTCCAAGGCATTTTGAGTTTGTAAATTTTGTTTGTAATTTTTTGTATATATTTTTCTGTTTGTATATGGTGTTAATATATGCGTTTTGTTCACCGGATTAGCGTTAGCGTTTGCGAAAAATGAATGACAGCATTAAAAGGGACTGAACAAAAAAAAATCCACAACAGCTGGCAAAAAAAAAAAAAAATCAAAAGCGGCGAAGCGAAAATTTCAGCGTTTCCGAAACTTTCCAATAGAGCCGCGAGTCGAGACGAGACTCGTTCCGGTGGTTTAATCGTCGTTGCTCTTCCACCTGATCTGCCTTTTCAACACCATTGTTTTCAAGGATCTTCAAAACCAGCTAAGGAGAACGACGAAGAAATTGAAGCTGAAGAATCGCTCTCGATATTGCTCAATGACTTCTTTGGTTTGCATCCATTTCGCCTTCCTACGTTTCTGTTTCAGATCTCTTAGATTCTCCTCTGCGTTGGAGTCTTCAATGTTTTTTTTTTTGGTCTTTGATTTTGCAGTGACGGCCTTCAATTTAGGATCGGATTTCTGAAATACGGTGATTTAGCGAAGATGATGGTCGAAGATCTTGGTGTGGAGGCGAAGGAGGCGGCTGTACGGGAGGTGGCGAAGCTCTTGCCGCTACCGGAGCTTTTGCAATCTATTTCTTCAATCAAGGCCGATTACATCGCTCGTCAACAGGTTCGCCATCTTGCTTTCAATCGAAATCGGAACTGAAATTGGCATAGAAATATCGGTTCTACTGAGTATCAGTTATTTCTGAGCGATGCTGGGTTTGAATCGTTAGGTTTTTCGATGTTTTATTCTGAATTCTGCTGTCAATGTAATGACCTTACTGGTGATGTATGCTATATCCTTCAGGCGAATGATGCACAGCTTAGTACCATGGTCGCTGAGCAGGTAAAGCTTTAATCTGGTATTCCTTGAATTCCAAATTTTCTTTTGATACTTCTGTTAAATAATCGATGCTGACAAACTGCAGGTTGAACAAGCTCAAGCTGGGTTGGAGTCGCTTTCCTCATCTGAGAAAACCATTTATGAACTGCGGGATAATTTCATTTCTATCGACAAGTATGTTTTAGCTTGGCTAGAGATTTGTGAAGCTGAGTTGTCAACTTTCGCAATTTTTTCCGTCTAATGTCACTGCTTGTGCTACAGGCTTTGTCAGGAATGCCAAACTTTGATTGACAATCATGACCAAATAAAGCTGCTGAGTAATGCCAGGAATAATCTAAACAAAACTCTAAAGGTAGATACACAAATGAGCACTGATTCTAT